AGAGAAAGCTCAAATTACAAACAGGTACAACAGCAATCTCTGAAAACAATAATTAAATTACTCAATTTCTAACATACAGTAAGAGGTTTGAAGTACATGTGTTAATTCATACAAAATAGTTTTTTAGTTGAATTATTGAATAATTATTTATCATTTGAAACCCTTCACATGTGACTAAACCATAAATGAGCTGAAAATGTTTTCCCTTTCTTTTTTTCTGCCACTTGGACAAAACTTCATTAAACATAGAGTAGACAACAACAACAAAAAGAATATAGAACATTAGTAGATTAAATGTGTAAATTAAGTGCAGTTAAATTACATAAAGTTAGGCATTATCTGATTTACAGTATGTGTAACCCCTTTTTCTCATTTTTAGAACAGGTCACAGAAGTGCTGATTTACGCTGCCTTGAGTTTTACTGAGAGTGATGCTAGGCCTGGTAAGAAGAGGACTGAGATGGACAGACAGTGTTTTCCCAGGTCCAGTGAAACCAATGTAATTGAGTGTTCTGGATGTTGTGCCTGTCTCCAGGGAGGAAAGAGCCATTTCAAGATGAATTAATTACTGCCATATTCTCTTCCACTGGAGCACTGCAAAGGAAGCTAGCCTTACCATGGTAACTGATGATGGTTCTACTCACCTGTCAGTCAGCCGGTTGCCATGGTACACAAACAGACTGGAAACCTGTTCCACCTGTGTGCCATTTGCTACTACATTCTTCTCAAGTGGATCAGCCCATTTAAAATCTGTTTTGACCTTGCCCGGGGCTCTGTTATATAGTTTTGCCTGGAGCTTCAGTTGAGTTTTCAAGCTTTGTATAACCTACCTTGTGTTACACTCTCTGGATTCCTAGCTTCGCTTTGTCTCAACCTTGCCTTTGGATTTTCCCTGTGCTTGCTCTAGTCTCTAGAAAGACTGGGCAGACAGCAAAGATAAAATAGCACAGAAGATCAAAAGCTGGGAGAGGGGAGAAAGAGGGCCTTTCTGCTATGGGAGTTGAAACCCTTCTTTGAGAACAGAGACAGAGAGATAAGTGCGATAATGGTCGTCTGAGGTTAAATGAGAAACTATGGGCTTGGAGAAATAGTTTTTAATTACACCATAGTTTCTATTTTTAACCTCAGACAGCCATGATCACACTGATCTCTCTGTCTCTTTTCTCCAATGTGAACCTCCTTGTTCACAGCTCCCTTGACCGCCCTCAACAACCATCCACACCAGGCACTTTCCCTTGCAACAGAGCT